CGGGCCGCCCCGCCGGGCGCTCTCAGGGCTCCACTGGCGCCGCGGCCGCGGGCGCTGAGTGAGCAGCGGTGGGGCTGCCGCCGGCCTGCGAGCTGCTAGGGGAGCCCTGCCAGGTATGGCAGGGCCACTGCTCCCCGCCCCGCCCGTCGGCAGCTGCGTTCCACGGCTGCCCCCCTTGGTTTTCTCTTTCAGGTAGCGCCGCAAGAGGGATGACGGTGAACACGCCTCTGTGTTTTAGAGGAAAAAAGATCCTGGCGCCAATGGTGCGGGTGGGAACACTGCCAATGCGCCTTCTTGCTCTGGACTATGGTGCTGATATCGTGTACTGTGAGGTATGAAGGATGAGCAGATGAGGCAGCCTTAACTGATAACATTATTATTAAAAGCACAAGTGGACGTTGTTTTTTGTAGGAGTTCTTTTCACTTGCATTTTTCACTAGAACAAACGAGGAAAGAAGAGTTCCCATGGTTTAAGGTGTTTCATTTTGAGCCGTCCTCAAGTTATGCCAAACCTATATTTTAAGACTGTTCAATAACTTCAATTCATTTAGACAAGACACTCACCATAATAATTTCCTCACACTTTACTGTGTTTTGGTTTTTGTTGGAATTTTTTGTTTCTTTTTTTTTTTTTTTGAGTAGAGTTATAACATTGAAGGAAGTCTTAGACTGACCTACCCTCTCGCCCAGTTAGTTCTGCTGTGCTATCCCAGAGCATCCATGTGTCTCACAGCACTACTGTCCTTGTTGCTTAACCACTTTTCTTAAAGCTGCCTGAAGTTAAGACTCCAGTTTGCTGCAGATATCATGGTTGGACTGCTCTGTAACTTAAGGTACTTGGTCTTCATTATCCTTACTGTTGCAGTGCATCAGTATTCTCATTTTCCCCTTCTGTCATATTACTCGCACTTCTCAAGTGTAAGCACTGGTACAAGTTATATGACTCAGCCAAGGCTTAAAAACCCAAACAATAATGTAAACATGGCTTAAATACTGGCTTTCCTGGAGAATGTTTGATCTGTACCCATAGAACATGCTGAAACACTGTTGGAATCAATTGTTTACAGTGTTCTCCAGGAATCTTCACAGCAGTTCTGTCATGACTTACCTCACTGCCTGTTTTGAGGGAGAAGAAATGAGAAATTATTCTCGGAGAGATGATATGCTTTTTTTATCTTTGCCACAGCTCACCTTTTGCCTCTAGCTTCTAGAATTACAAATGATATTTAATTAGTTGTATCAGCTTCATGTGAAAGAATTCCTGGATGATTCAGAAGAACTCTTAAAATTCAGTAGAATAGTTACCACTGTCTCTCATAAAAGTGGGAGTAATAAGGTGTTTTTTTCTTTGACAAACAATAACAGTTTCCTAGTTTATGAATTATGACCTCTCTGCTTTACATGGGATTAAGTGAGAATATATATTTTTTTAATTCCCTGAGAGACTAATTGTAGATCATGTATAGAAAAATCAGACAGAGTTAGAAAATCTAGAAGTCTTAAACACTAAAAGCAAGGCAGGCTTGAGACAGCCTTTGTATTTTTTCCAGTATCTCTTACATTTCTTTATAGTAGCAGAGAACCTTGTTACGGAGCAGCTACTGGATTTCACTTACCAGAGATTTGACAGGGCCATTGTATGGTAAATTAGTGGAAGACAATACTGTAGAAATTGTTGTGTGTGTTCTTTAAAAAAACCACAAGCAAAATCCACAACAAACTGTGCGTGTAAAGGTATTGCTTTGCTTACTGCTGAAGTCACGGGGTATGAGAAGTTATTTAATCCAGCAGTATAAACTGTATAGCTAAAGCAATTTCTATTTTACATATGCTTCTTGTCACAATTCCAGAGAAACAGTACATCAAAAAGAGACACTCTTAAACTTATTTAACAAGTTGCAGTATGTTACAAACCTTGCAGTGTGAAAGTTACTCCTATAGCCCAAAACCTGTTATAGTTTTCCTCATCTTACCTCATAAATAAGGTCTCCTATATTGTCTTTTTTCCACATTGCTGTTGAGAAACAGGAGAGTTAAGATGCCTTTGACATGAATTACTATTTGCAGTTAGATATCTGCCTTAGTAGATGTTATCAGAAAAAACATACTTTATAGGTTTTCTTAAAAACTGACAAGATAGTAAAAAATAGAGCTGTTTTAGGCAGTTATGCTACAGTTGTTTGGCAACAGAACAGCATAGATAACTTAATCTCTGTATAGTAAAAACTTTCTAATTTATCCCTTTGTCTTCCAGTCCTTTCCCCCACAATCTTCTCAACGTTTTGGAACTCGAAGGTGTTCCAGAATTTAACATGAATAGTACCTGAAGAGGAACATTAATTAAAAGCTTAAATTAGAAGCACTGCTCATAAGACCTATAGTATAGCGTAGACAGGTTGAGGTTAATTTATTGCTTTTTTTATCCTTTACCTGTAAATTGGCAAGTTTTAAATCTTGTCTTATAAAACAATGATTCTCTAGTACACCAAACTTCATGTAACTAACACTATAGCATAGTCCTTTTTTTCCCCTCAATTTGTATAACAGTTGGATTAACAGCTGCATATTTATTTCAACAGCTAACAAATTATATTGGCTCAAACTGTAGCCCTTTGACAATTAAAGGCAGCCAGTTTGCCTTAAAGCTCATCTATACTCAAGTTGATAAGATACATATGAGAAAATGACTCAACTTGTGTCCTTAATAAATTGAATTGCATAAATCTGCAGTTAAAATAATATGTGTAGATTGAAGTTCTGAGTTTCTTCTAAGGGAAAACCACAAAGAATGGTGACTATGTATTAGGTTCTTTAGTAATGGTCAGCATAAAGCTTCATTTTGTCTTTTAACAAATGTAGTGAACTGTTAAAATTTAGGATTAAGATAAAGAGGTCTTTAAAGTCTCGTACTGCTGTTTTTTTCACCAGTGCGTTTGGCCAGTACGAATCTACACTGATTCTTGAAGTGGTCTGTTGCTATAGCATTAATTTATCTTCCCCTTCCATACTAGGTGGTTGTTCTGCTTTGTTTCCAGGTTTCTAGATAAGTATTTTGAAACTTTAGTTGAGTGTGTTGCATAGTTAAACTCTTGTTTTCACTTGCGTTCTTTTTCTCTATTTGGTACCTCCAGATAGTTATTCTTAATTAATAAAATGGGCAACTGTTTAGAGCTGGGTGGTTTAAACACTTCAACTCACGGAGATATTTTTATTCTTCTCAGGAGCTGATTGACTTAAAGATGCTGCAGTGTAAGAGGGTTATGAATGGCAAGTATAGCATTTCTTTTACTAATATCTGTAAGCATTATTTTTTCTAGTTAAGAGAAAATATAATTATTTCTCTGAAGTAATTTTCTAGTTATTACAATGAGGTATCAGTACATATAATCTCATGAAATTGTGTCTAGTGACTTAAAATGAGTGTTTCAAGTACTACTTCACACCTGTCTGCTGCTCTACAGTTTCAAACTTTCAGTTGTCCTTCTTAAGGAATTTCAATAGTTCAGTTAGTGTCCCTTAGGAAAACCATAAACATTTTTGGAAGATAAGGCTTATGTATTAGTAACTGACAGTTAGTTATTCTTTCTAGGACCCTAACACAAGGTCTTTCTTCACCACTGAGGTTATTACAAGGATTTGTTGAGTTTTCTGTTAAAGCCTTTGCAGGTAAGGTTACTGGGTGTGCAGGCATAGGCCTTCTGAAGTGAAGGGCTTTATAATTTTTAGCTCCTGGCATTATATCTTTCTCTTTTTTGTTAAGAAAAAATGGGATTAGTGTTGAATATTCATTACTAATGTTTCAGCATTATGCTTCCTGGCAGCAGGCAAAAGAAACTAGTAGCTGGAATAGACAGGACATTGAAGTTCCAGTGAATTGTTTAAAATGTAAAGTTATTAGTTTTATGTGAGTTAAAAAGACAAATAATAAAATTGTAATTAACAGGTAACTCTCCTCAATTCTATATCTACATACTGGCTTCAGCCTCTCTGTTGTCCTCATATGCTATTGTAATAAAGAATAAAACGGTAAAAAAACTCTTGGTGAGATTTTTTTCAGGAAATTTTTCATATATATGTGCTAATATAAAATCTAATTTTCTGAGCAAAACTACTAATATTAGTTACAAAACAATTTTTCAAGAAAATTTTGATAATATCCAAGAAATGAATTAATTTGAACTGCAGCTGAGACATTCAATAATGAGTCTTTATAAATGTAAGCTCTTTGTTACGTTGTAATATATAGACCTTTTAGTTTACTGCAGTAAGGAAGCAAGATATATAAGATCTCACTGTTTATCGTTGTTTTATTAACTTGAGGTCCATTGGCTAGATTCAGCCTAACAGGATTTTCACAGACAAGTTCTTGAGAAGGTATCTTTGAGACCTCCCCAGTTGAGTGTCATGAGAAACGGTTGCTTGTAGTGTCCCTGTTGGGGAACAGAAGTCCACTACACACCTAGTTCCCCTCTTACCCATTCACCAAAATAGTAGTTGTATTCATTCTGGTTGATTAATCATTAGACTTGTTCTGGTGCTGATCCTTGCCCAGGAAACAGGCTGGGGGATGATTAGGGAGTACTATGGGGGGAAACCAATGTGCAATAAAGGTATTGCAAGGGCATATAGGAGGTAGTGTATCATTAGTTCTGCTGTTCAGGGAAGACTTATTTGATAGCATTTCATTTATATACAAGTTGCATAGTCATATGTCTTCCTTTATGATTACATTTGTATATAATCTTTGTCTATTTTATCTGTTTCTGATTTCATATAGAAGTACTTGAAACAGTGGACTTTGTTGCACCTAACGAAAGGGTTGTTTTCAGAACCTGTGAAAGGGAGAGGCACTGTGTTGTCTTTCAAATGGTAAGAAACCAACTGCAAATACTCTTCTAATAACATAGTTAAACAAGGTAGTGCTAGTAACATCAAAGTCTGAAGCAGA